AATATTTTGTAAATATTTTTCAATATTTACTAGAAATGCCACCTAACCTAACCTTAGGGTGGCAATATTTTTGGGTCAAAAATTTGATTTTAAGTCTCAACCTCTTAATTTCGTTCTACGAACTCTCAAATGCAGATCCTTGAAGAACAGGCGCTGTAACTTAATATTTAAAGGTCGCTCAAAGCCTCTAAACATTAATTTTTTTTTCGAAAAAGTGGTAAAAACTGCATTTTTTACCACTTTTTTCGGTGCCAATTTTTAACAACAAAACAAATAATTTTAGTAAAATGTGGTATACCGTTGTAAAGAGTGAACCCTTGGCTACATTTATAAGGACATTTTTGGTCTATGTCGCTTTGTTCAACTGGTATATAGAGTGAAAACAACAAAGGTGCAAAAATTGAAATGTCAAAATTGCCGGGGCAAAATCGTCACTCTATTCTCGGACTGAATTTTAAATGAAAATTCATAATTCCGATCATGAAAAATGATAGAATACATTTTATTAATTATTTTTTAATAGAAAAATGGAAACATTAATTAAAAACACGATGACAGAAAATAATTACAAGAAAAGCGCACACACTTATGTGCCCTACGCTCGCACGAAATGCACTGTTCTGTCATCTCTGAGCACACGCAGCACATATTATTCAAGTCCTCGCTGGAATCCAAACACTGCTGCTTCTTTGACTTTGATTTTCACCCGAAGCCTCCATGATATGACGTGGTGACGACTTCGCCCCGGACACAGATTTTAAATTTGATTGCTCATGAAATATTAGAAATCAACAAAAATAAAACAATTTTCACTGGATTCGTGTTCAGCATGCATTACTCTTCTGAATCACTTATCTCGAGATTTGGAGAGAAAATAATATTTAAAATATTTCAAATTTTCGACGCGCAAAAAATTTTACTTTTGACCTCCGAAAACACGTTTGCCTTAATGAAAATCACAACATGGCATATAATCTCACTAAACTCCGTTGGTCACATATGGGCACCATAAGTGGTGCTTACAATATTAATAGCGAGTTTGCACAACATACAGATTTCGAGATAATTGTAGTGACGACTCCGCCCTGGTCTCCCCAAGTTATTTGATGGATAGAATATCATTTAAGGAAGGTATTGAATTTGGCGAGAATCGGTGGAGTTACCGATTTTTGTTTAAAAAGTTACATATATAAGTTATACATATAATTTTATATAGAATATCATTAAAAGAACGTTGGTATATTGAATTTGGCAATAATCGGTAAAAAAATTATTTCTTTATAAAATTTTGAATTTTTTGAGAAATGTTCATAGTTGTTTTAACTTTCGCCAATTTTGAGATATCGGGCTATTTATAATTCTGTTATATTCTTCAGTCTTTTCTACCTCTATTTCATATATAATTCTTTAAGATTTGGTTGATTAGACCCAACTTTATACGCAATTAAAGGTCCATATGCGAAGTCCATATAAGGACCATGTAGCCTGAATTCCCAAAGTCAACATCGATTTGACATTGCGTCGATTGTAAAACTCCACTTGTACTACTAAACTGACCCTCCATCAATTCATAAAAAGATTAAAATTAAAATTAAAAAAAAGTGTGCAAATTAGAAACTTGCACATTGCTTCCTCATCATTACAGATCGTTATACCATTGCTCCTATTTTATTTCGCTCATAAAGTTTCCTCTATGAGAAAGCCAAACTAATAAATATTAATAATTATGCATCAAATAAAATACTAGCTTCCTCATAAGAGGAGCTTTGTGAGCAAAATAAAATAGGAGCAATGTTAGCAGTCTGTAATGATCGATGAGAAAGCAATGTGCAAGTTTCTAATTTGCACACTTTTTTAAAATGTAATAGTTATTTTTAAGGTAATACATAAATGTAATTGGCGCAATTTAAAGATTTTTTGAAAAATACATATCATTTTTGGATTGAGTTAATACGTAACACAATTTTCTGATATAATAATTTTGTTAAAAAGAAATAAAGCTACTACCACTTAGGTTGGATTTTTAGATTTATATTTTACTCGATATGATCGTGGCGGTACATGGTTAAAAACATACAAGAAAACCGAAAATATCTTTTTTTTAAGTGAGTGCCACCTACAATTATACAAGTAATATTGCATATAAAATATGATAGTGATATCTCTACCAAGTGTTAAAAAAATATTGTTTTAAAAATTAAAATGTTTTTTTTTTTTTACACCTTATAGATGTCGAAATTAAATTAAACCATACTTGTTTGAATCCTTCTAAAGTATCCTACTACCCATATTTTTTTCAAGGTCCTAGCTTTTTCCGTTTCGGAGAATAAAAATTTTTTTATTTTTTAATTTGACGTCATAACAGACATTTTTTAAAAAGTGTATTTTTTGACGTTTTAGAACATTCTAAACACATTGGCAACAGCAACTCCAAAAAAATTTCTTCATGAAAACAAAGCTTCCTATATAAAGAAGCAAAAATAGATTAGCAGAGAAATGACGCAGAAAACTCTATTTATAAAAAAAATTATTTATAAGAAAGGAAATTTATTCATATAAAATATAAAAATAAAAAAACATTTTATAATATACTTTTATATACTTTTAATACACTTTGAAATAGAAATGACTAAAATAAAAACAAAATTCGATTTATTTTGCATACAAAAAGCAACTTTTATATAGAATCTAAAATATCTTTCTAAAATAAGAATTCCTATGTACAGCTTGGGAAATGAACTAATGGTATAGCGAATTGGATGGAGACAGAGTCGAACGATTATCGAACAATAGTTTGTTAGTGAGGTTCACCTGCCATATTGTTCTCGAGAAACGTGAATTCAGCTTTAGTTCTGTTTCTCCTTCTGTAAATTACATGGTACCTATATCTAGTTCATAGAATACACGAAATTGTTTCAAATCTTTTATACTATTTTTGAAACCATTTGCCCGTTACATATTATCTTTATTATTTATTACTGATATTTATTTTTATTGTTAATTTTAACTTATAAGTCAGCTGTTTCTGTAATAAGTTTTCTGCAGTGAATTAATAGCTACCTGTTACCTAAAAAATATCTTCTGCGAAGTTAGTTAAAGCTCTATGCAGCATGTTAACTGCATCTGGCGCTCAGCATAGTGGATATGATGCGTACCTCCTCATCATAATATTTATATAAATTATGGCCAATTTATATCCACGATTTTTAAAATCTCTCTCTATATGATCATCTCATTAAATACCTTTACTGTAATTTTTATAATTATAGGGGTACCGCTGAATATTATCCTCAGAGCTATCTTCTATAGGTATAACAGAGACTTTGTTATTTTGATTGAAAACCATCTAAACATCGTCCCAGCAGATTTTTTTTTGTTTTATTCTTCATTAATTAAATTGTATTTAAAACATCATAAAGGAGTTTTTTTCGCATAGGTGCACTCGTCTGGCAGACGACATATGAGAAGACTAAAAAGGTGGAAGCACATAAAATTGCAGGAGCCATAAGCAGAAGGTAGAAGCCATATGCGCATGCGCTATGGTATCTGTTAGAGCTCTACGGATACCATAGCACATGCGCATATGGCTTCTGCTTTCTGTTCATGGCTCCTGCAATTTTATGTGCTTCCACCTTAAACATTCAAATTTTTCTAATACCAATTTGGCATAACCGTTTTTGTACATTCACTCAAAGAATTATTTTAGGACAAATTATAAGGATACGAAAAAGAATATTTTTCAATAGAAATATATTCCTATAAAGTTTCTATTAGTCCAATATATTATAATTTTTAATTATAAACATAAAGGAATAAGGGGAGAATAGAGAAATAAGGTTTCATACGCGTAGGCTAAATTTCATTCTTTGAGAACCTTGGAAATAAATTGTTTTTTAAACTTGTTTTTTTGTTTTTTAAACTCAATCAAAATTTTAACATGAGTCGATTCTAAGAAAAAAAATAACCAACTTTTACTTAAAAATTTTTGTCTAAAATAATTATTTTCTATAATAAAAGTATTTAAAATAATTTAGCTCATAGAATTCCGTCTTCTATCAACTTCATTAACTGACCTTCATGATTTTGTTTACTACAGATAAAGGGAAGCGAGAATGTAATGCTTTATTTTATTTAAATCCGGTAAAAATGTGGAAACTTACTCAATTTTCTCTTATACTCTAATGACTACTTCACGATACGTTATAATTTAATATAAAAGTGAATATATTATCAATGCTCGTCGAAACAATGAGCACATAATGTTCTCAACGTTATGGCATCGAAAACTATCATATTGTTTTTCATCGATTAGAAGCGTATCTTCGGAGAATCATCATTCATCATTAAATGCTTTTAAACTTAAAAAAAAAATACTTGAGAAAAAACGTTTAAGTAAAAAATACTTATTTTTTCACGTAGAATCAATTCACGTTTGGGATATCATTTAAATTTGGATAAGGTGTCATTTTAAAAAACAAAGTTTGTCACTACTGTTCTCCAAAAGATTTTCTCGAAATATAAAATTTAGCTCATGTGAAAGCTCATTTTCAACCGATATAATTGGTTATTAATCCATTAAGCTATTCCACAGTTAATTTTAACATTTTATTTAGCCCACCAAGTATGTACGTATATTTAAAAATAAAATAATATGTTAAAATGAAGAATACATAAAAATACAAGAAAACGAGAATATAATTTTATATTATGTAAAACTATATATTTATATTTAAGATTTAGCAATGTTTAACAAAGTTTTAAAATATTTGTTCCAATTTTTTAAAAAATGATTCTATTTTTTAATATAATTTTCATACACTTTGTAAATCACTGTATATAAAAAATATAATTAATTCGGTGTGAACACTTTACTTTGCAAAATAGTCAAAACTCTTATGTATTTATATTAAATATATAAATTAAATATAAATTGTATGTGTAGCTCATCTATTATAATTACATAGAGAATATTTACATTTTTGCTTATTACATTATTGTGTTTATATATACATGGCTTTTTATCTTACTTATATCATTAATATTTGTTATTGAAAAGTAGTATTTTATTTTCTATGTGTTGTTTTCAAAGGCTTCATAATACAATCGATAGCAAGTTAGACATAAATTTTTGCTGAGTCAGTAAATTAAATTATTGATCAATAGTTAGCCATTTATCCGTTATATTTTCAATTTGCTTAAAAAGAATAGGATTCCTGAGACGGATTTTTAACTCCAATTTTCCTCCCGTTGCTTTTCTGCCATCCATAAGCTGAAATATATCATGATGAGTTCTTTTATTATTGTTTGCATAGAAACAGTGAGTATAAAAAAGTTAATTAATTAATTACCGGAAAAGAATCATGTAGAGTGCATTGAGACTCTAGAGGTTGTAACTTGATCATTACTGTACCAAGCAAGCTATCACTTCGGAAGAAACCTCTGTAACATGAAGAAAATTAATATATAAATATAAATAAATAAATATATGTATAATATTAAATAAATATATAAAATATATTGTAAATATATAAACACATTATAATCGAAAAATCGCTTTTACATTTAGAAATTTAAGTATACGTTGTTACAAATTGCTCGTGTAATATCATAGAATTTATAACACGGTTTTTTTTATAGAAAAATAAAAAGATGACACACATGATATCAAAATATGCATTATACTTAAAAACATCAAAATTTTTCTGTGTATATAACTGCGCATATTCTACAGAAATATAAGAATATCATACCTGGGATGAGTGCAACACAAGATGGGATTCAGCGAGCATCTGCAAACAACGTTCTACTTTTTGGGTATAACATTCTCATTGTACGACTAATGTTTTATCACGTAATAAATCTGTATATATATATGTATATATATATATATATATATATTTGTGTGTTTTTGTGGGGTAACTTTTTTTTTCATTTCACGAATAGCATATATACTTCCAGGAAGGTAAAATAAGATACCTGTTAAATTTTTAGCCCTTAATATTAATATTAACAGGTCGCTCATCGCGATTTTTTATTTTTCATTTAGTAAGATAGAAAAAATTTTATAATTATCTAACAAACAGTAATACAGCATTGCGCCCCATAGATTTTCTGTAGTAAATTTACTCTACAAAAAAGATCTCTTATAATTTTTTCATAAATTCAACCGTTCAAAAGATATTCAAAGTTATAATTTGATAAATTTTATAAAACTTGTTTTTGCTTCTTATGAATTTTGTATCATATCGACTATCAAAAATTATGAAATAATCAATACGTATTTTTGTAGAAAATTTAACAATCTACAAAAAAGGTCTCTTGTATTTTTTTCATAAATATAACCATTTAGACGATATTAAGGTTTATACTTTGAACTTTAAATAAATATATATATATATATATATATATAATATCCTAAACAAAACTGGAGGGACAGGAGATAATACAAACCTATTTTTTACAATTAAAAAAGCTAACTCTTTTTTACTATCATTAGAGGCATTGATCATCTATCTTAAAAAGATAATCAATCAAAAAACCTTATTCTTTTATTCCAAAAACATAATTTTCTTTTAAAAAAAAAATATAAATTCTTACGAACAAAGTACCATTATCATTGGAAATTATTGAATAAAATTCGAAATGATTATTATACAATTGTCCCAATTCTTTTTATAAAATCATTTTTTAAACAAATTAAAACGATATTTCTACATGGAATCTTAGACTGTGTTAGTCTAAATCGTAATATCGTTTATGTTTATTCTTTTTTTACAAATGTGATTCAGAAAAGAAATTTTTGAAAAAAGTATATAAAGCATTAAAATACAAGAAAAAAAATATCAATCTTTAATATAATCCTCCTTGTTCTATACAAGTGGTTCAACGTTTCACTGATTGATGCCATCAAAATAAAATTTATTTCATTGCTCTCTCAGCTCTTGCTTCCTTTGCCTTATTTTGGCATACTTTGCACCAAAAAGGTGTGACAATATATAATACCAACTATTCAAAGTTGCTGAAAATAAAATTTTAAAAAATCAGCAATATTGATCAAATAAAAAGAAACGACACATGAAGAGATTATTTTGAAATCAAATAAATTTTATTCTGATGATATTGATTAACTAATGAAACGTTGTGTAGACCGAGGAGACTTATATTAAAGATTGATGTGTATTTTTCTTATATTTTAATATTTATAACACCTTTTCTTTCACAATTTCCTTTATTTTTTGAACTTTGTATCTGTTTGGAATTGATTCTTTCTTAATAAAAACTCAAAAGGTACATTTTGTGCTTGGAATCTATCTTAATAAAACCTTAAGAAACATATATTTTACATATACAAAATAAGTCACAAGAAACAGAATATCTATATCTCAACTATTTCAAGCAAGAGAGACAATTAAAGCTACAGAATGTAATTCTAATTTTTAAATTATAAATTATTAAATATTAAAAGCTTTTCAGGAATTAGACTTCAGAAATATAGAACCAAAGATTAAATAAAGATTTAGATTTTATCAATCAAATAGCAAATAAATATCAACAAAGAACCTCGTCCAAAATAGGCCACTGGCGTACAACATTGAATCATATGCTATTTTGTAGGTATTGTTGTGTACATCATTAGAAAAATTAGGTTGTGGAACAATGGACGAAAGAAGTTATAACCGATTCAATTACCAGTCTTAATACCTATTCGGTATTCACTATTATTTTCATTGTTATAATTGTCAGAAAATGATATAAAAATATCTTTAATGTACCCTTATAATAGCTTGATTCTTGCGTTTTTTTTTTCCTTCTGAAAAGTGTAAACCAATCACAGGCCTGACTTACAATTAGTCGAACAAGCTAATAAGTTTGTTCGGTACCACGGAAAAATGTCCTGAACGCAAGAAAGTCTGGACAATATCATAAAATATATTATTTTATATAAAGTTAACGATATTATAATATTTAAGTTATATAATAGTGTAAAGTTTTTAGTGCCAACTAGCTAATTACATATGGTAATATGCGAAATTTACGCCCTAGAAAATGTCTTTTCCTATGTTTTTTGAGACTTGAAATAGTGTTATTATTATTTCTGTCAACCTCTTCTACAAATGCATATAGAAGTCAAGTATGTGCGTTTACAGCTCAAAACCCATTCATAAAATAGATAAGGTTCTTTATAATTCAAAGATCAAGTATAAAGATATTTAATGTTAAAAGTTAAAAATTATTATAAATAATAAATTCCAGAATGCTAAAAATAATTATTTCTAAATTGGTCAATACATCTGTAGGTAAAAAATTTCTAGAGCCTAGGATATTTTCTATCTTTGCATAAGTTAATAGACGAAAAATTACGCAAATCTTTTTCTCCTTGGTCAAAGTGATAAATATACCTTGCTATATCAAAATAAATTAACCTTTTGTCTAATTCATAATGTATACTATTACTTGCATTCAATAGATTTATTGATAAAATATTTTGAAACATTCCGTTCTCTTATTATTCTATTATTCTCGTATTATTCTCGTAACACTAAATATATTAAATACATTAAATTCAATCTACATGTATCTTATATTTTTAGTCAAAATTAACTTTCCATACTAATTATTGAGACATAACTGTTTATTAATCCGCGAATCTGAAAAGGCAATTTTCGGTATATTTATCACGTATATATACTATTAAATATGCATGATGCACATGCAAAAAATAAGTTTATTTAGTGTTAGACATATATTATAACAAAAAAGAGTGACATCCAGAAAATCCTCTTTCTGAGCACAAATAAAATATTTGAAATATCAGATTAAAATTAATTTTTTACTAACTACAAATATATATACTTTTATCACGTTCAAAGTAGTATATTGAAAATAGTTTATCACGTTATTATAAACTATTTTGAATCAATAAAATAATAAAGTTTAATTATTTTATAACTAAAATCACTTTGGATGCGCCCAACGTAGCGTTCAAAAATCAATTTCGATTTAACGCACACACTCTGTCACATTGTAGTACAATGTGCAAACGTTCTCTTTAAGCCAAAAAATTTTTATTTCTATTTCTCAAGTAATTCTACAACAATCTTTTGTTATGTAATCAAATTCCAGTTTCTAGCTGCAACTGCATTAATTTCTACAATAAATATTGCAATAAATATTTTCTGAGCGATTATTTCTTATAGCTATTCTTCCTTCAACTCATCATCAGCAACAGCAACAGTCACCTTGCAACCGTCACTTTGCATCTAAATCTTTTCTTTTCTTTCTTATTTTACTTTTTTTCTCTCTTTTTTTCTTTATTTTATATATATTCTTCTTTTTTCTTTGGTGGAACACTAATATTGTTCCAAAAAAGAATATATACTGCTGACAAGGAATAACTGATTTATATTTAAAAATGCACGCAATTAAGCTACAATATTCGACATCACAATTGTGATTGTAGTCGCAACCAAAATGACTGTAATGTTCGATTTTACTCAAAGAAACAAGTTTACAAATTAGGCAATTTAACTATTGACAAATTAGGCAATTTAACTGGGACTCTAATCCACAATATTTTAAAAACTAGATGTTAATTCTGACGTTGTAACGTAATAGTTTTTTTTTACAAATAATGATCCACTTTTTAAAACCTTTCCAATAGTACCTCACTCAATTCAAAATTTTTTTGTTCAAAAAGAGGATTCTAAGAGCCATTTTGGACACCTCTCTTTGTATCAGGTTATTGCATATGAAATAACAAGATTATAAGATTGATCATATTTTTAGCAATTAAAATTTGCAAGAAAAGCACATAGTTTTTCTTGCTTCTGACGTCATAATTCAACACAACTTGCAATATGGAAATAACAAACCTATTAACAACAAACAGTCAGACAAGGTAATTTAGTAAGATTAAATTAGAATAATAAATTATAAAATTAATCGTGCATAAGCCTTCATTATATCTTCATTTATATCAATGCTCAAAAATTAAAATAACCTATCATATTCACTTGATAATTACGAAATTATCTACTGTATAATCGTAATCTCTATAAATATTTCGTTGTCAAAGCTCAAATTAATTTCCAGTTTAAATTAACATAAATTAATGTTAAACACTATCATTAAATTACCCTTTTGCCCAAACTTCACACTTCAAAGCATGTCGTTTGAATGCTCTCTGACATTGTCTGGAGGTGCGATTTATAATGCTATTCAGCAAAAATACAGCTTGGTACTCAGGATTGGCAGAATCTTTGATCGTCGATGTCCTCTCTATAGGATGATTATCCAATGGAAATGGAAATTCACACATTACATATGTATCTGCTTCCCGAGAATAATTGATTCCTCTAATTATAGAAATTTCTATATCACTATCGTTTAAATCCGTGCAACTCCTGAAAAAATACAGATTCCTTTATATTCAATCTTTATAATATGAACAAAAAATTTAAAAAATGGGAAATAATTTGATAGAAAAGCACTAAAATTGTGAATAATTAATGTACACAATATCTCCTTCATAATAAGATTACAAAAATTTACAGTTATCTAGTCTCACACTTTAAAAAGCATTTACATTTTTAAATTGAGTAAATAATATCATTCTATGATGTATTTTATTGTTTTTACCAGTAAATATGAAAGAAAGAAATATATAAAGAAATAAGGATAAATTAGCTAAATTCATAAGGATAATTTAGCTAAATTCAATAAAATTTTAATTGAAACCTAGGCTATATCGTAAAACATTTATAGATAGTACAGAGAACGGAAAGAAAAATATAATAAAACATTTCGGAGTTTTGGAAGGGAAGGGGGATGGACTTATATAGAAGACTTGAGATCATCGGTTATAGACTATGTCTTAGGGAATGACAGAGCAGGACAAGAAATAAATATGGTGCACTGAGAAAAAAATGTTGTAAATTTGACTAAACTCGTTTAGTTGTAGTGATTTGTTTAATGCAAATATTAATATATTTAAATCAAATATACGTGAGTAATATCAAGAAATTCTGAATCTATTTAAATATAATATTTTTTGAATTAACAAATGTTAGCTTGACAGCCCGTGACCACTGCATTTAGTTGAATCAAATAATATTTCTTTGAATCTACGATTTTTTTTTCTCAGTGTGGAAGAAGGAATTAAAACGGAATCGGATCATGTTCCGCTGGAGGTGGAGTTGACAGGACCACGGGTGATGGAGACAGGGAGAAGGAAGAAAGAAATAGAAATAGAGAGAAGCAACTGGACAGAAGATGGGAGGAGAGAATATCATGAGAAATGTGAAGGATGGTCGAGTACACAAATAAATACAGAGGATATCTGGAAGGAGATGAAAGAAAAAGTAAAGAGCGCTATCACGAAGCGGAAGAAAAGGATAATACCATGGAGATTAGGAAGAAAAGAATGGTATAATAAAGAATGGAAGGAAAGGAAAAGAAGATTGAGGAGATTGATGAGGGACTGGAAGAAGGGAAGGATCAGAAAAGAAGAGTATGTGAAGGAAAGAAAGGAGCACAAGGAATGGTGTAAGGAGCAGAAGGGGAGGCACGAAAGCGAGGAAAAAGAAAAGATAAGGAACATTAAAAACGAAGCAGAAGCTTGGAAGTATATAAATAAATACAGAAAAAAAAAAGCTGAGGGGATAAGCGAGGAGATACATATGGACGAGTGGAGAGACCACTTCATGGAAATGCTAGGAGGGACAGAGGAAAGAGTGGTGCTAGACATAGAAGACGAGGGAGAAGAAGATGGCACGAGAATGGAAGTAACAAAAAGAGTTGAAGAAATATCGAGGGAAGAGGTGATTGAAGTAATAAAGAAACTGAAGATGGGAAAGGCAACAGGAGAGGACGGGATTGAGAACGAGGCGTGGAGATTTATGCAGAAGGATGTAGGTGAAGAATTCCTGAAGTTAATCAACAGAATCTGGAAAGGAGAGAGCATACCGGGAGATTGGAATAAAGGTATGATTAGTCCAATTCATAAGAGAAAGAAACGACCCAAGAAATTACCGAGGAGTTACTTTGATGAATACGGCGTACAAAATATATGCAAGTATCTTAAATGCGAGGTTAGAGAAAGAGGTGGAGTCTAAGCTAAGAGAGGGGCAATTCGGGTTTAGAAGGAACAGAGGAACGATGGATGCAGTATACACGGTAAATTATGTAGCGAATAAGAAGCTGAGTAAGAAAGGTGGAAAGGTTTTTGCATTCTTTGTGGACCTTAAAGCAGCTTTCGATAAAGTGGATAGAAGGAAAATTGAATAAAATAATGAGGAAGATAGGAATTGTAGATAACTTGAGACGAAGAATAATGAAGACATACAAAGAAACGAAAAATGTAGTGAAGATAAGAGATAAGAAGACAGAGGAATTTTAGACAGAAAAGGGACTAACAATAAGATAAGGACGCCCGTTGAGCCCGAATCTATTCAATTTATACATCATGGATTTAAAGAAAAGAATGGAAAAAGGGCAAGCAGGAGGCCTTGTGATAGGGAAAGAAAAATTTTGGTCAATATCATACGCAGATGACGTAGTGTTAATGGCGACGAGAGAGGCGGAATTGAAGGAAATGATGAGGAGGTTCAAAAGATATTTGAAAGGGAAAGGTTTGAGTTTGAGTCCGGAGAAATAAAAAATAATAGTATTCGAGAAAGCGAGGGGAAGAAGAAAGAAAAGGGAATAGAAGTGGAGAGAGGAAGAAATAGAAAAGGTTAAAAAAATAAAGTATTTGGGATATATACTACAGAAAAATGGGGGAGCGGAGAATCATATAAAAGATAGGATGAAGAAGGCTACAATAGCGATGAAGAGGACATGGAGCATAGGAGAGAGAATATTTAAAGAAGATTTTAGAAGAATGAAAATGTTCGAGGCACTGGTAGAAAGCGTGGCATTATACGGAGCTGAAATATGGGGGTGGCTATACGAAAGCAGATTAGATGTAATAAAAAGAAAGTATGTTAAATGGATTTTAGGATTGGATAGAAGAACCCCGAATTACATAGTATCAGAAGAAGCCAAAATAAAGGAGATAAAAATGAGAGCAATAAGGAGAGCTGTGAGGTATGAGGAGAAGACAAGACAGTCAGAGAAGAAAATAGTTCAAGCATGTATAAAGGATCTAGAGAGGAGCAGACCAAGGAAAGAAGAAAGTAATTGGGAAAAGAAGAGAAGAGAACTGATAAAGAGGACAGAAATGGAGAAGGAGCAGCTGAGGAGAGAAATGGAGGCAGGGAACCGGGAGGCGGCGAAGAGTCTCGTAAAGAGATTAGAGGAAAAGGAGAAGAAGGAGAGACAGATAAAGATAAACGAGTCAAGATACAATAGTAACTATAAAGAGATTTTAACAGAGGAGTTACCAAAGTATTTACTAGGAAAAAAGAAGAAAAAGGATAGAATGTTGATAGCTAGGTACAGATACGGGAGTGTGGTGAAAAACAGCAAACATTGGAGAGAGGAAGAGGATAGAAGATGCAGAATATGCCAAAAAGAAGAGAACATAGAACATATACTAAGAAAATGTGAAGCGACAAAAAGCGAGATACAGTTAAAAGAATTTTTAGGAGAGGAAGGAAAAGGACTAGAAGTAATGAAATGGATAGGAAAGATTAGAAAAGAGGCGGAGAAAATGGAAGGGATGGAGGGAGAAGAGTAGAAAGGGAAATGTAAGGACAGTCAGAATAGAATGTTGAGTTAGTTTGGAGTTAGTAAGGATGATATGAAGATGTATAATGTATATATATGTAAATGAGTTATATGTGTAAAATGTGTTATACGTTTGTAAAATTATGTAAGGGTTGACGGAAATCATCCTAAGCTGCAAGGCAAGGATTAAAATAAAATTATTATTAATTATTATTAACAAAACATTTCAGAAATATTTCCGAGAAAACTATAGAAATTATTTCTAAGTTTAGAATAAAAAAATAGAAAAATACATTAAAACAAAGATTATTATTAAGACGGACAATTTTTATGAATTTTGTATAAATCAAAAATATAAAACTTTTATGCTATAATCTTTTTTTTCTAAACCTTGTATGTAAATCTAAATTACATATAAATGTATACTAACTGTACTATTTGATAAGTTTTTGTTTCATAATGGTGTTGTGGTGGTGGCAGTGAGTCACGTTTTCGAACTCTCAGCATATCTAAATCTCGCGTGTAACTCAGTGCAAGCCGCTCCCATCTGTTATATCCAGGAACATCTCCCAGTGCTTTTGAGTGATCTCGCGTAGACAAACACCACTGTAAAAATTAATTGTTAGTATTATAAAGAGTAATAAATTGTATAATTATTAATTTAAATTAATCCTTACAGCTTAGAAAATAATGTTTAATAAAGTATGCAAATGTTAATATATGTTAATCTTTCCATAATATTCAATAAATTTTCTTTTCAGCTGTACAATATCATATAATTATCACCTTAATTTGTTTAATTAATTGAGTTTCAAGATTTTCATAAATTTTATCGTCTGTTCCGTTCAAGCCCTCCAAAAAATCTTCGGAAGATACCAATATGAAATTTTCATCCTTTTGTGATGTACTGAGCTCTACTTTTTCAAGAGGCGACAATGGAATCGAAGTCATGTCGACGGGCAGGCCAGCTTTGCTAGCTTCGATTAAAGGTTGTATTCCTTTTGCTTGTCTTAGATAGTCACGTGCCAAATCCATGTCCCCGTCTTTCTTTGCATTTAGAGCAGCTTGCTTTAATTCACGTTGCCGTAGTTGCAACTGTAGCATTTGCTTCTCTGCACGCGACGTAATTCTCTGATTTGGTTTCAGTCCTAATAAAAAAAATACAGTATAAATATAGAAAGTGTTCTATTTTAATAGAATCAAACCAATATCTCAAAAACAGATAAATTTACGCAAAACAATTTACAAAAACAATATACAAAATTGGTTTAAATTGAATATATAAATGATTAATTGACTAAATACTCTCAATACTAAACTTAACGAGTAACAAGGAAAAGTAGGCTTTGAGAGTCAAACGCAAATTAATTGTGCGTGAATTAATATTATTTAACATTTAATTAATACAAGTTATAAATGATACGTCTCGGCTTTACTTTGAGTCTTTAGCAACGCAGTAATAGATAAATTAAGTTCTCCAACAAGTATAAGGTAAATATTTAAAAATTAAATGTATAAAGATGGTGTAATTTTCAAGAAAAATACCAAAAATACCAGAAAAATTCTACAAATAGTCTTCAAAATGGTCAGATTTTAGAAATAAAAATTAGAACTAATCGACAAAGAAACGTAAAATTCACTCATCAAATCAAGTCCAGAGAACGTGAGATTGACAAACTGAAGAGAAAACAATAGAAACTGAAATGATTTTCAAGCGCCGATGGTTGATATAACAGAGACAATGATACAATCAAAGAACAGGCTTGGTTCCAAATAACAGCATAATTTCGAGGCGATGTCTTATGGACAATATGATTTTGTTCTATACAAGTATCAAATCTAAACAAAATCATTCTTTTCTGAGATTTAAAATTCATTCTATCTTTTTTAATAACATCATATAAATATTTTTTATTACATAAATCAATTCTTCTCACCATTCAGCATATAAAAAGATAAAGATTTATTCCACTTTTAAAAAAGGCGTGTTACCTGAGTGAATTTCGTTTGTATCGTAAAATTGAAGCCTCTTTTCGATGCCGATTGGCGATGCCGATTGGCTATCTCGATTGATTGCCGCGCCGTAGCTTGCTTCATCCCGTGAGGGACTGTCATCGCGGAGTGTGGCGAGTTTCGTGTTTCGTGCGTGTAGTGCGTCGTGTGTGTCATGATGTGACAGCTCGCGTCGTGTCGTGAGGTTAATCGTCCCGCGTCGTGTCGCGATTATTATATAATAGCATAATGTTAAAGCTAAATGGCGCGCGCGAAGCGCGCGCGTCTGTAGTGTCTAGTTCCATTTTTAAAAAAAGCGTGTTACCTGAGTGAATTTCGTTTGTATCGTAAAATTGAAGCCTCTTTTCCGCGATGCCGATTGGCTATCTCGATTGATTGCCGCGCGCCGTAGCTTGCTTCATCCCGTGAGGGACTGTCATCGCGGAGTGTGGCGAGTTTCGTGCGTGTAGTGCGTCGTGTGTGTCATGATGTGACAGCTCGCGTCGTGTCGCGAGGTTAAGGGCTCAGTCACAATGAGAAAAATAAGGAATAAGATAAAGGAATAAGGAATAAGGCATGTTGCATCTCACTTTAATGTACGTGTACTGAAGTGAGATGCGACATTCCTTTATTCCTTATTCCTTTATCTTATTCCTTATTTTTCTCATTGTGACTGAGCCTTAAGGTGCCTTTTCACGTTAACGCTCGACGCTCATTTTTAGCAAGTAAAAATCTTCAGAAATAATATCTTTTATTTATATATATATCCATAAAATATTATTACTTGAAGATATTACTTGAAAATAATTAATATTTTACGTATTTTAAAGTCTATGTTTGATTGTACTGGGACGATTAACGACGATTCAGCGACGACGCTGAATATTAAACAAATTCAACTTCATTTCTTTGACGCTAGCGTCAAAGCGAAACCACCACGTTCACCTTGTTGACGCTCATTTTCAGCGTCTCATGAATTGGCACCTTTAATCGTCCCGCGTCGTGTCGCGATTATTATATAATAGCATAATGTTAAAGCTAAATGGCGCGCGCGAAGCGCGCGCGTCTGTAGTGTCTAGTTGAATTTAAATATTTTGTATAAGATATTTTATATTTTATTCTGATACATTCTAGTATAAAATCTCATGACACATCTCATAAAATATTCGCGTTTTGATGATTCTGTTTTAATCATTTTTATATAAAATGACAAAAATCCATCAATATACATGTGTAAAAAAATAGCTATAAAAGGAAAAGTGCAAATGCATATTATCTCAAATATTTATATACAGAGAAAAAGTTCTTAATGCATTTTCTCTTATTATTCTACAAAATTGTTAAAATTAAATCATTAAAATATAAATACATACATAATATTTCATGTTTGTATCAGAATATATTATGATAAAATATGAAATATTCTGTAGATTACTCACTTTGATCTTTTGATAAACTCATCTTAATACTTTTATGGAATTATTAAAAAATTATCAATTATTATATTACACAAGAAAAACAATGGTTCTATGTAAAAAAAAACCAATTTTAAAATCTGTCAAAGTAACTTCAAAAACAAAGTAAATTTAATTTTAAGTAAATAGAATAACTAGCAGTTTTGCATAATTGCACAGTAATTTTTAAACGGATTATACGCAACACATATCTACTATACAATACAATACTATATATATGTATAATACTGATAATATACATTTTATGAAACATTATATGTATATTATTAGTATTATACATATATGGGGCATTTCCATGCCAAATCAACCTGGGTTTGACCCTCGATCTCTCGGATTTGGTTAGCAATTTTTTATGTTATTGTTCTAACTCTAAAATGCACTTGAATTTTTTTTATATTTTTTTTTTTATAAAATTTATTTAATTATAATTTTTTAAACCGACATATCGATGGCCACAATTTAAAAATCTGAAAAAATTAAAAATCCTGTGTCAGATATCAAAATTTTTAAGCCTTCACCCAAAGTAGGCCTGTGTTTACTTCTAACTTTTTCGAGCTTTTTTCGAGTTTCTTTTAAGTTTTTTTCAAAAAAAATATTGAAAAAAATTAGAAGCAGACGTCAGTCCCTTGTAGGCTATTGCTTGAACATTTTTTTGAACAGGATTTTTGAGAATTTTTTCAGATTTTTCCGATGCAATTTTTTTATTTTAAAAAATCTCCGAAAAAATTTGAAAAAATTCTCAAAAATCCTGTGTTGTAGGTATATAAAAATGTTTGAGCAACAGTCTACAGTGGACTGACGTCTGCTTCTAATTTTTTTTAATATTTTTTTCAAAAAAAGAATCGAAAAAAGCTCGAAAAAATTAGAAGCGAACGCGGGCTCATTTTCGGTCAAGGCTTAAAAATTTTGGTATCTGACACAGGATTTTTGAGCTAGTAATGAAAATTTTTTTAGATTTTTAAATTGTGGCCATATATGTCGGGTTAAAAAATTATAACTAAATCAATTTTATTTAAAAAATCTAAAAAAAAATGAGTGCATTTTAAAGTTAGAACAATAACATAAAAAATCGCCGACCAAATCTGAGAGGTCAAAGATCAAACCCAGGTCAATTTGGCATGGAATACCCCATATATATGGTATTGTATTGTATAGTATGTGTTGCGTATAACTCATTTAAAAACTTCCATGCAATTATGTAAAATTGCTAGTTATTTTATCTATTATTTTGTACATAAGAATTAAAAAAAAATTATATAAAAGTTATTGTATCTGAGGTAAATTTCCGAGTTGTAGGCACTTTTACGTTTCAATAACTCTGGTCATTAAATGAGTTAGCATAATTTCACTCATCTTAAATTATATCCATATTTTACGAAACAGCTTAGCCATATAGTATATCGAAATATAATATATAAAATATAATGTAAAATATAAATATATAACATATATAGTACAAAAAATATATATTAAAATATATATATTTGTAATACATATATATATATATATATATATATATATATATAATATACTAGCTGGTTACCCGGATTTCGCCCCGGAGGACATGTGTAATAAGAATAAGGTAAGATCTGGGATTGGTTAAAGTCATATTTAAATAACAGAACACAAAAAGTTAGATTCAATGGTCAGTTTTCCAAACCAATAGTAATAGACCATGGTGTTCCGCAGGGGTCGGTGTTAGGTCCGTTGCTTTTTATATTGTATATTAATGATATAATTAATGCATGTCCGATGGGTAGTAATGTGAAATTGTTTGCGGATGATACGTTGATCTATGTAATAGGAGAATCGAGTGAGGAACTTAATACAAAGATAAATGATGTATTTTATAAGATAGAAGAATGGATGAACCTAAATAAACTAAAGTTAAATGCAGAAAAAACAAAATATATGATTGTTCGGAGTAGTAGAAAGAAAGTTAGAGGACAGATAAGAATAGCATGTATGAATGGCGATGTGTTAGAACGCGTGGAAGTAATAAAATATTTAGGTATCCTTTTACAAAAGGAATACCAGAGTGGAACATATGCTGGAAGCCTTGCAATATATGTCAATAAGACAGAGAATATATTATAACGCATGTATATTTATGTTTAAGATATTAGGAGGTTATCTACCACATATGTTGAAAAATAGGCTAGATTTAGTAGGTGAAAGTAATCAGAGGGAGACGAGACAAAAGGGTAATATAGCTGTACAGTTGCGAAAAACATGTGAGGCACAAAGGAGTGTTTTTTATAAAGGTATTAAAATGTATAATGATTTACCTACAGCGGTAAAGCAATGTGATAGAGTAGATAAATTTAAAAGAATGTTGAAAGATTATGTTACACACAATGTTGCGAGATTGTAATGTGCTGTATATTTTATGTATATAAATAGCCGAGAAGGCTAATAAAGATTAATCATCATCATCTCTCTCTCTAAAATGCTATAAATTAAAAAATATTACTTTTTTATCCACTGAAGTTCAATTCCGTCGCATACAATTCTTTGAGATTCACTCAATTATTTCCTTAAAAAAATTGAAAAATTTTGTAACCAATTACCAAAAAGATACCGGTTCCCAAAAAAATCGGTAACAAAAAATTATATACTTTATAGCACAAAAATTATATACTTTATAGCACTCCCCGGAAAATTCTACCCCTACTTTATGTACAATTCTTTGAGATTCGGTGTTCAGAACCGGTTTCCAAAAAGTATTGGTAACAAAAAATAATATATTTTATAGCACTCCCCGGGAAATTCTACCCCTATTATACTTCATATAGGTATAATTCTTTGAGATTCAATCAATTATTTCCCGAAAAATTGGAAAAATTAAAAAAACCGGTTTTTAAAAAGATTGTTAACCAAAAACTATATACATCATAGCGCTCCCCGTAAAATTCTACCCCTACTTCATATACAATTCTTTCAGATTCGGTCAATTAATTCCCGAAAAATTGAAAAAATATCAGTAACAGCTTCCAAAAAGATCGGTAACGAAAAATTATACACTTTATAGCACTCCCCGGAAAATTCTACCCCTGTTTGATCCATAAACTCTTTGAGATTCGGTCAATTATTTCCCGAAAAATTAGAAAAATTAAAAAAACCTGTTTCCAGAAAATCGGTAACAGAAAACTATACACATAGTGGCACTCCCCGGAAAATTCTACCCCTATTTCATATACTTTTGATAAAAATTCGGTTCAGGGGTTTGGGCTAGGCATTGATGAGTCAGTCAGTGAGTCAGTCAGTCAGTCAGGACATCTTCCTTTACATATAGAGATATATAGATATAGTACATAAAATGTAATATATGTACACTGTACATATATATACATGCACTACAATGTTAATATATAAATATAAATATAAGCGTATGATGTGAATATCTTTATGTAGAAAAATTTTTAATATTAATTACCTGTTCGAGGAGGAGGAACAGGCGCTTTTGGTTGCACAGGCGCTTGTGGTTGCACAGGTTTCTTTACAGTATTATTATCAGATGTCTCAGGCTCGGACGCAGATTGCGCAGTAATGGCGTCATTTTGTGAATTCAACGATAATGGTGGAAAACCAGGCGGAACGGGAAGCTCATCCAGAGGTATTACCTTTCCCTGCGTGTACAACTTAATGGCATCTTCAAATTGTTTGCAAATTCTACCATATCTCCGTGCTTTAGATGTGTTACCCTCATCTTCAGCAGCTACTTTAGTTCTTCTATATACCTCGAGGCGCTCCTTAAGAGCACCTTCAATGTTCTCGGGACCACATTTTGCTGGATCAACTTTTAACACAGTAATTCGTATTCATATTATCACGGTTTTTTTCCAATAAAATTTGAATATTATGTAGCTTATTTATCACGTATCATAAATATGAATTTGTGTATGTAATCTATTTATTGCTGTATAATAAAAAATACAGAAACTAAGTGTATCTTAACATTTCTATCTTAATATCTCAATAATATAAAAACTGGATATTTAAAAATAAATGTGATAATTATTTATATTAACAGCCATCTCTTTGGTAATCTTGGCTTGGTCCAATTCTTATTTACATTAGTAAGTAGGGATATAGTTCCGAATGACCCCTGCTCCCGATCAACCTAAAGTTTTACACATAAATTGTTTTCAATGTAAGAAATAAAGTACGCGTGGTCCCAACTTCGGAAAATTAAAAAACAAATTTATGAGCACTTATCGACTAATAAAATTGATTCTATCTACATATATGGAAAGTC